AGAGAGCCAGAGAAAGTGGGGGGAGACACACACAGACATGGGGAGGTTACAATAAATTATATAAATAGATTAATGAAACTTGACTTTGTTATGATGCTTTAATAAACTATGCTATTAGGTAAAATCTTAGGAAGAAACAATACTAATCAAAACTCCTGAAGACCTAAGTGAATATCATCATCAGCTGTTGTGATCAGTCAGTCTATGGATGGACCTCATAGTCTTCTAGAGTCCACCCACATGCTCGCTCCCAGAGATCACACCTTGCATCTCTGAATTTTCTATTAACCCAGGAAGTAGAAAATTTACTGACTATACCTGTACAGAGGACTCCTGCATCCTTCTCATGACTGCAGTTATGTGGGCCCCATCCCCAGGAAGGGCACTTCCACACATGGGACTCATTTCCTGTGCAATTCAGGCCACCCAGCCAAATGGGCCCTGATCCAAATCCAAAAGCATAACCAAATGTATAAAAGCGGACAAGTCCACAGCCAAGCTGTTGGCATATCACACTTGCTCCATTCCCTTTGTCATCACAAATGGTGCCCCAGGTGCCATTGTAAAGAATTTCCACTCTTCCAGTACATCGATTTTTCCCATTTTTCAGCTGGACCTGGGGGCTGTCTGAGGAGAGACAAGAAAGTCAGTGGTTATTTTATATAGAGAATGGAAAAGGTTTTATTGCCTTCTGGGACATCCTCAACTGAAACATTCACCGTATTCTGCTTTCATTCTGCCAAGTAGGCTGGGTCTTTTATAGAGCCACTGCTCTGGGAGGGTAAACTGGTTCTAGTTCCTACTGACACATAAATGACAATAGGAAGACTAGAGTCAGAAAACAAGAAATGAAATTAAATGGAAAACTACCTAATGAGTAGTCCCAGCCAGAATCTGATGCATACATGCCCCAGAATTAGCCTTCTTGTTTATAGTATTCTGCAAAAGATGTGATGAATATTCTCTGAAATTGTCACAGTTCCTAGCCTGAGTAGTTAAACGGGGTGTTTCAGCTTGTTGGAATTCCAAAATCATTCCACTTTTTAATTTAGCTTTCAGAATTCAGCTATGGATACGTATCTTCAAAACTATTGTTTCTGTTTACATTACAACTGTACACAAGAATTTCAGATGGCACTGACACTGATCAGATATCACCAATAATCATAGAAAGTTGCTTATTCTCCCCAATATATGCAGATATTTGTGGAAACTTAGGGAAATTGTTCCTAACCCTACCTCAGAGCAGAAGTTGATTGTATTCCTGTTCTTTAATCACTTGAAATGAAAAGTTATATAAAATCACTATATAATTATTTTCTTGTTTTACATGTGAGGAAAATGATGCAATGAGATATTAAATAAGGTTGATTAACACTGCATTTTAAACAAATTCTAGACAATAAAATTATTAACATTTACCCACCGTAAAGAGTGGAAATATTCAAAATATGATTTCGAAAAGTTGGAAATGTAAGATGCTACTTTGATGGACAGAGCAAAGAGTACATGAACTGAAATTTGAAAGACTGTATGCCACTTTACTCTTTAGCCATTGTTCTCCTGTTGCTCTTTCCACAGTGCAAACTTAGTAGCCTAGTATCTCCCCAACTATATGAAGCTTCTCTGACATTTCGTGCTATAGTGAGGCTGTTCACCTGCACCACAGTGCAGTGTCTGAACACTCACGTGGCAGTGGACAAGCCTGAACGGGGCAGCCCACAGCCACCACTGCACTGATGATGAAAAGAGTATTCTGTGGACTAAAAGAAACAAGACAATGATATCCACTGTCTCCACTCCTATTCAAAACAGTTTAGGAAACATTAGCCAGAGCAATTTCACAAGAGAGACAAATAAAACAAATAAGGACTGGAACAAAAGTGAAAGTATCATTATTAGTAAATAGCATGATACTCTATATAGAGGACCCCAAAAACTCCACCAAGAGACTTGTAGATTTAATCAACAAATTAATATATGTAGCAGAATACAAAGTCAACACCCAAAAAGCATTAGCATTTCTCTACATAATGAATGCACTGAGAGAGAAACCAAGAAACCACATCCTTCACAATAACGTCCCCAAAAATGAAATATTTAGGAGTCAATCTCATAAAGAACATAAAAGATTTATACAGTGAAAATTATGGTGCTCTGACAAAAGAGGTTAAAGAGAATCTGAGAAATGGAAAGATATTGATGCTTTTTCAGAGGAAAAAACATTGCAAAAATGGCCATACTCCTAAAACTATTATAAAGATTCAATGCAATCTCAACTGAAATATCATTAGTATACCTCACAGAACTTCAGAATACTTTCCTCAAATTCATTTGGTACCAGAAGAGACTCAGAATATCAAAATTAATTTTGGTAAGCAAAGACAAGAAGGTAGGTAGCACAATCTCTGACCTGAAATTATACTATAAAGTTACTGTGATAAAATCAGCATGGTATTGGCATAGAGGATCAATGGAAATAATTAGGAAAAGGCACTCACCACTACAAACACACTGAGCCACCTTATCTTTGATAAATGAGCCAAATGGGCACAATGGAAGAAAGATAGCCTCTTTATTTAGTGGTGCTGGAAAAACTGGCTTTCCCCATCTCAAAGGTTAAAATTAGAACCATGCCTATTGGCATGCACAACACTACAAACAACATAGATAGAAGATTTAAATATTAAAACAGTAGTACTATGGGCCAGAGAGATGACTCAGTAGAATAAGCACTTGCCTGACAAGTACAATGGTCTGAGTTCAATCTCTGGTTCAACCAAAATAATAAGAATAAGAATAAGAATATAAAAATAAAACAGAAACACTAAATCTTCTCAAGAAAAATGTAGGTAAAAATCTGAAATACACAGTATTATGAAGAGAGTTCATAAGGGATGACCAAATATCTCAGTGGATGAGATGTAAAAGCCTTAAGTCTACAACTTCTGACATTACCAGTCCTAGGGATAACCGACTACTATTATGGACTACGAATTATATTGAATTATTTTGCTAAATTCACGCTCCTACAATATTTAAATGGCAATGGAATACCCGTCTCTGACAAAACTAAACAAAAAAAGGGGATATAAATGAAGGACCATTTTGTATCTGTATATGCAAAATAGTTAGGATAGATATACAGCTACTTTCTCTTAATTCAATGAGAAGAAAGATTTGTACTAAGAGAGTGCAGACAGGATATCAGGTCTGCATCTTCTACTATGAATAACCACTAGGAGGACAACAATATGCAATGTATTAATTATTGAAACTGTCCTACTAATCTGTTTTGAAACTGTCTCATTTCTATTTGTTTCTCAATAAAATTAATGAAAAATAAATAAAAAATAAAGTGAAATTAATAATAAATTTGAAATATAAAAAACCTCGAAGTGATCATTAATTACCTGGAAAAAAAAACAAATATCTCAGTGGATCAAAGGGCCTTCAAGCAGACACAGGGACCAGGCATTTGATCTCCAGACCTTCTATGCCAAACCCTCCCCCAGGGCATGCTGAGATGGCAATTGAGACTGAGCATGGTGGCACACGCTTGTAATCCCAGCTTTTTGTAGGCTGTTAACAGGCAGATCACTACAAGTTCAACCTAGTAGTGAGACTCTGAACACCCTGTAGACTTTTCCCTAAAAATTACAAAAAAGAAAAAAAAAAGGAAGAGTTCATTAACAAAAGCAGAACTGTATGTATGAGAAATACTTCAAGGAATCAATAGCTGGAATCTCACCCTTTTGAAAAGTTTCTGCACTTCAAAGCAAATCTCCAAAGGAGTAAAATGAAAACCCACAAACTGGGGAAAAAAATTATAGCTAACTTTTGCTCTGAGGCCTTCTATCTAGAACAGAATTTAAGTAATCAGGGACCCCAAATTCAAAGGGCCTCCAATTTCAAATCCAAATATTGGCATCTGAGATGAATATACATCTTTAAGAGGAAAAAGTACAAATGGCAAACATATATACAAAAAGAAAGTTGAGCATCATTGGACATTCAAGAAATGCAAATTAAAACAATGCTGAGATTCCATCTCACCCCCGAAACAATGGCTAACATCAAGAAGTTAGTCAATGACAAATGCTGGAGAGGTTATGGAAAAAAAGAAATACTTCTGCACTGGTGGAAACTAGACTAGTGCAGACTAGTGCAATCATTGTGGTTATCAGTGTGGAGAGTCCTTTAAAAGCCTAGGATTGGAGATCCCATTCAAGATAGCTATTACCCTCTTGAGTATTTTTCCAGAACTGAAAACTGCATACCCCAGCGATATATGTGCACTCACATTTGCAGAAGCACAAGTTGCCATAGCTAAATCCTGGAAACAACACACATGCCCATCAACTGAAGAATGGATAAGTAATGTGTTATTTTTATACAACGGCATATTATTCATATATAAAGCAGAATAAATTTGAGTCTTTTCTTGGTAAATAGTAGTAAATAGAGAATATGCTCTTAAATGAAATAAATCAGACTCACTTTTGCAAACATTTTATTGTCTCCTTAGTGTTAGAACCCGAAAGAGAAAAATGGAATCTGAAGGGTATAAGAGATACTGCAGAAAGGGATTGAATTTACTCAAAAAGAAAGATTTACTGAGATTAGAAGATGGACAGCAGAGAGAGTTGGGAAAAGAGATATATCTATGTATGTAGGCAGGATGTTTTGGACAACTGCACTGTGCATTTCTACTGGTCTATGGAAAGGAGAAGAATCTGTCATCTAAACACAGATGCAGTGAATGAGTGTGCACACCAATGAATTTTAGGAGCATAAAACTCACCCTGAATGGTCCAGAACCCTAGCCAAAACCAGAAGCAAGGGCCAATGTGACTACTTTGTCATTTACCACGCTGATGCACCCAGACAGAGAAAGTGGAACAAATGTTCACCTGATCCAAATGTTGCAGACTACAACCTCCACAGACTGCAAAGTCCCTGAAACATTTGACACAAACTAGAGGAAAAATAATCATCACTCTCTAAGCCAGATTATTTAAAGAAAAGGAATATCTACTTACTCTAGCTAGTTTCTTTTAAAAAATTTTGTCCCTTTATCCTTGCCTTCTACCTTTTCTTCTATGTTCTCTATAATCATCTGTACATTTCACTTTTGTTTTTTAATTCTATATTTCTTAATGTTTCCCCTCCTTTTGAATTAATATACTACTCTATCCTTCCACTTTTTCTTAAATTAGTGTTTATCTAGTTCCTTTTATTTCTCATTTTTTCTACATATTTCTTCTTAGCTCTCCTCCTATTATCTTTATATTATTCCTCTTCTTTCTATTTTAGTATTGATTTAATTTATCATACTTTGTTTAACTGATCTTTAATTTTCACTATTACATACTATCTTTTATCTTTCCTCTCTTTTTCTAACTAATATTGTGATTATGACAGGTTTTTATTGTGTTTTATTATATTTCTAGATTTGATATCTTTCATGCAGTGATTATGGCTATTCCTGTCTTCCCTCTAAGTAGTGCTGAATATCAAGTTAGGCACTATAAATACACTAGCAAGCTACATTTTGACCCTCCATTCTGTGTTGTTGGAGGAAAATGCCTGATAGACACAACTTTTTTGGTTAAATTATATATATT